AAAGCTGAATGCAAAGCAATATCGTCCAATTGGAGAGTCCTCAAAAGGATTTCCCAGGTTATGTTAAAGACTATTGCATTTAGCTACAGACACTTTTTCACATAATGGAATTAACTAAAATATTTATGTATATCTAAACACTTATTACAACGGCAAATTTAGAAACCGCGAAAAATGTGCTTCTCTGGTGACTAATGAAACCATTCCGCACTAATTTTCAATACTGCATAAATAGACTTAAAATGGGCGTTTCTCACCCTAATTGCATTATGTTAATGTATGCAAATACTTATATGCTTGAAACTACTATTAACGTGTCAAACGATTCCTATTCTTTGACAATACATTCACCACGATCTTGAAAACTGACCAAATCGGCGTGACCCAGTCCATGGTCATTTTAATATTATATAAACATCCGAAAATGATAAAACGTTTGAAATAAATCTCGTCTGACTTTTGTATTTTTCACTTGTTTACTGAAGTAATGAAGAATTGAAAATTCATAGGGGAAAATTATAGTTTTTGTAAGTTTTATCTTAATATCGTAAAAACGTATAGACTTATTGAAAAATTATAAATGAACGTGAGGTACTAAATTTAATAGCCCTTAATTTGATATATCGTTCTATTCATAACAATAACGCATTCCATAGATAAAGGGTGAACACACCAAAACTGCGACACTTTGGGAAGCTTATAACTTACCCAAAACGAATTCAATATTTTGAAATTCAAATACCATAAGTTGACCATGACCTTAGTTGAACGTAGAAGAAATTTCATTTGAATTTGATTCCTAGTTGAGTTAAAAATGGCAACCGAGCTAGAAACGAGACAAACCATTTTGCACGAGTTTATAAATGATCCGGCCTTAAGTACACGTAAAATTGCTAAAAAATTAAAGAGTGCACTATTCGACAGTTTGCAGGGTTTTAATCGGTACAAATAAGGCCTGACAGTTACGAGAAAACCAGGGAGCGGGGGTTAGCATGGTCAAAGTGATAAAAACAGTGCTCGGAAGGTCCTCAGTGCGTTTTCGCGAGATCCGAAGATTTTGTCGCGTTATGTTGCAAAATCCGTACGGAGATCGCAGTTTTTCGTACAAAATGTTGGCAACCTGCCACTATGCCAAGGACACATTGCCGTGGTATAATGCAAATAACATCAATTTTGTACCTCACGACTGCAATCCACCCAATAGCCCAGAGCCACGTCCTATTGGGGAATATTGGTCAATTGTCAAAGGAATCTTGAAGAAAACAGGTGAAAGAGTGAAAATTATTGAAGAGTGCAAAACAAAGTAGTTGTGCGCATCGCGTAATGTCGATGATGCAGTCGTGCAGAACATGATGGCGCGTGTGCGATGAAAATACCGATCACTTGCATATGGAGCAAATAATAACTAATATTTTAACATTTTAATAACATCTAAACTTCCAAGTTATATAATACAAAAAAAAATAATTTCAAAGCCTTCTAGGTTGTTTCTGGTAGTAATTTATAAGTGTCGCAGTTTTGGTGTGTTCACCCTTTATTACAAGCCAAAGTTTCATTTTCAACATTTATACACTTTGATTCAATTACGCGGGCTAAAGATAAGTTTTAAATTAATCTTGGCTTAGACCTAAGGCATCATAATATTGCTATTACAATGCGGTCAAATGACTTTTATTTTCCCCCATACAAAATCGACCCAGCCTATTATACAAGTAGAAGTCCAATTATTTTTCTCTTTGCGCATATTAGGCCAAAAATATTTTGATTGAATCAAACGCCTAGTTGTACGTACACTTGGATGTGATAAAGAATGAATTTTATCAAAAATGATTTTTCTCTAAGAATTGGGAACAAATGGTTGTTGAGAAATATCACACCAAATATTAAGATTAAGTACTGGAATATTAATTTCTTTTAAATTACTGTTGGAATTTTGGTCAGATATTATGTCATGAAGTGTTTGATATTTTTGATGTTCCTCGAATAATGTTTGAAAATTTATGTCTTGGGCTAAAATCATGTTAACATCTGGAATACGTGAAAGCGTATCAGCAACTATGTTTTCTTTTCCAGAAATGTATTGAATGTCGTCTGTAAATTGTGCAATGTATTCTAATGGCTGTATTCTCCAACTCAACTTAACTTAGTTTAGCCAGTTTTTGGACTTAAGTCAAAAGTTAGCCTACGTTTTACACAGCTTATTCTTGACTAAGTCAAGAAAATTGACTTAACTAAGTTAAGTTGAGTTGGAGAAACCAGCCGTAAGTGTCGAATTTATCGAGGTGATCTGTCTGATTTAGAATTTAGAATATGTGTTAAAGGGGTATGATCAGTATAAACAGTGAATTTTCTACCTTCTAGAAAATGTTTAAAATGTTTAATTGAATTGTATATCGCTAAAAGTTCTCTGTCAAATGTGGAGTAATTAATTTCTGTAGGGGATAATTTTCTTGAAAAATATGCAAGTGGTTCCAAAGTGTTATTATTCATTTGTTTTAAAACCGCACCGACTGCTACATTCGAAGCATCGACAGCAAGTGATAACTTACCATTTTTATCAAAATGAGTGAGTAAAGTCTTCCGTGTAAAAAGTTTCTTCACATTTTCAAAAGCCCTAGTTGTATTTTTTGTCCAATTTAATTGTTTAAGTTTATTTTTAGTTGCTAATGTTAACATTTCGTGCCGAGGACTAAGTTCTGCTGCTAACATATTTATGGTAATAATTAACCATGCCCAAAAATTTTTGTAATTTATTTATTGAAAGTGTTTTTCAAAATTTACTATTGCTTCAACTCGTTCGAAGGTCTGATTCCTTCACTTGAAATTTCATAACTTAGAAAATCTAATTTATTTGCTCCAAAAATGCATTTACTAGGTTTAATATTCAAACTATATTTTTCAAGTATTTCAAATACAGATTTTAAATGCTCAATATGTTGATCTTCATTATCACTTGCAACAAGAATATCGTCAATATAGACAAACACAAATTCTAAACCTGAAAATACTTCATTAATAAAACGTTGAAATGTTTGTGCACTATTTCGTAGTCCAAAAGGCATCCGTACGAACTCAAACATTCCAAACGGTGTAGTAATTGCTGTTTTATGTATATCTTNGACGGTGTAGTAAATGCTGTTTTATGTATATCTTCTTCAACCATCGGTATTTGATGATACGCACGAACAAATCAATTTTGGAAAAAATTTGTTTATTTTTTAAATCAATAGTCAAATCATGAATGTGAGGTAACGGATAACGATCTGGAATAGTAATGCAATTAAGTCTTCTGTAATCTCCACAAGGTCTTCAATCATTTGGTTCTTTTTTAGGAACTAAATGTAAAGGAGATGCAATGTGAGAGTGTGAAGGTCTACATATACCTGTTTTAACTTAAAATTCAAATTCTGGTTTTGCTATTTTGAATTTAATTGGATCAAGACGACGTGGTTTAGAGAAAGGTAGCACTCCTTTTGTTTTAATTCTGTGAACCGTTTGGTGTTGCACTGGTTTAGTGTAATCTGGTTCACAAGTAATTGAAGGAAAATCATTTAAAAGTTAAGAAAATTTATTTTCAGTAATCGGTATCCTTATTGAAAATATATCGCAAAAACCAGATGATCCAGAAACTTTCAATTTTGTTGTTGAATCAGTAATTTCTCTATTTTTAATATCAACTGATATACAAAATTTCTCCAAAAAGTTAGCGCCTATAATTGGTGTTAAAATATCCGCTAATATGAAGGGGAATTCCAAATCGCGTCTTAAACCTAGATCAATTTTTAAAAGTTTTGTGCCATAAGTTTTAATAGAAGAACCGTTAGCTGCAGTCAAATTAAGATCTGAATTTCTTTTATGTGATTTGAATTTTGAAGAAGGAATGACCGAAACGATTGCACCAGTATCGATTAAAAAATTTAATTTTTGGATTTATCATAAATAAATAGGCGGCGAGATGGCTTAACTTCATTTCCATTATTAGCCACCGTCATAATGGAACGATCTAGTTTAAAACATTAGAATTTTCTTAGTTTTTGTTTTTGTTAAAATTACACGGTTGAATGCATTTAAAAGCATTATTTTTAAATTTTCTATGATACCAACAAATATTTTGGTTAATATCGTTTCTAGATCTAGAAAAATTTCTCAATATAGAACGACTTCTGTCTCTATCTCTATCTCTATTTATTGATCTTGAGCTTATTTGTAATTCATTAATATCTTCTGTAATTTTGTTAAGATTTTGGTAAATGACTGTAGTTAACTCAGTTAAATTTCTAATGCACTGAATATTATTATTATTTTCTACGCTAGCGACATTAAAAGATTTAGACGATTGAGGTTTATTTATCAAATCAAATAATTTATCTGTAAGAGAAATAATTTCTTCAGTACTTTGATTACTACAAGAAGTTATATGAATTTGTACTTGTTGCGGTAACTTCCTACTCCATAATTTAAATAAAAGTTCTTTACTAATAATTGATTTGGAACCTGCTAAGGATTTCATATGTCTATAAAGTACTGATGGTGAACGATCACCCAGTTCGGTATTTGAAAATAATTGCTCTAATCTCATCTCTTCGCTAAGAGAAAATCTTTCACATAAAACTTTCTTAATTGTTTCATATTTGTTAATCAAAGGAGGCGGATTAATAACATCAATAATTTTAGAAATTGATTCTTTTTGAAGAAAAATTAAAACGTTTTGAAATTTGATATTATCATCACGTATGTTGTTAATTTCGAATTGTCCTTCTACAAGGAGAAACCATGCTTCAGGACAATCT